TAAAGAAAAAATGTTGAGAGTAATAATTAATCATAAAATTAACCTTTTACTACTGTTTTTTTTTTTTTTTTTTTTTTGTAAAAATCACAATCGAATGACACATTAATAATAACTTTTAAATAATTTTAGTAAACTCGATCGCTAAGCAATTAGTCGCTAGTATTATCAGGTGTCATGCTGATTATCAACCACCTTTTCTTTTTTGCGACGAGTTAATAACCAAACTATTAAGCCACCAACCACTAGAGCACCCACTATGGCAAAACCAATAAATCAAGGGTTTTGATACCATTTTCCCTTGGATTCAACCGTTGTGAATTTTTTCTCAAAATCTTTTCAGAATTGTTCTTCTGAGAGGGAGTCAGGACCAACTTTTATTGAACCAAATGCATTGGCAGGAGACAAGAAGGTAAGTCCAGTTCCAGTATTTTCACTTGAATTACCTGTACCACTCAATTGGCGAGGACTAGATAATTTTTGAATTATTGACTGCTCCTCAGCACTCGAGATATTACTATTGTCGAATTCTTCTGAGGCCAAGCGATTAAGATGGCTAGTTAAATTAGCCAGTCATTGGCGGGCCCGACCTTCCATGCCACTTCTTTGGAGCACTTGGTTAATTTTTTCCCCATTTTTGGCTAACGCCGAAGGACCCGTATCGGCAAAACTCTCCAACTCTTCAGGACTAAAATTTTTAAGAAGAATTTCCGACCCTTCCGCCGTTAGTTTTATCATTTCGGCTAATAATTTTTCATCAAGAACAGCATCTCAAAAATTAATGAATGAGTTTGCTGAAGATTTCAATTCTGGATATTGGCGAAACTCGGCAGGAGCATAATTAGTTAAATATTCCGCTGCCAGACTTTTCCCCTTCTCTTTGGCTACCAAAACTTCATCAGCACTGAGATTTTTGAAAATATTTATTATTTTTTTGACTGCCCCTAAAACTTGTTGCTTAGTTGGTCGTCGTCCCAAACCCTGAGCCATTCGGGACATTTTATACATTGACCTCAATTGTTTAACTTTTTTGACTAAATTGACTTCAGCTTTATGGTAGTCACCATCGCTTATTTTTTTGTTTGGCTTTCGTGAAGCAATTTTTTCTAACTGTTTAGTATACAGTGGCACCAAAATCCTCATTCTTTGCTCTCAAGGGATTTTTTCTCGCTCCAATCGCACACTTTCGATAATGATTTCTTCACTTATCAAAGAAGCTGCAAAATCCACTAACGCGTGAAAAAATTTTTTTGAATCACTTCGTCAATTACTTGGTATTTGTGGATCATTATCTATTTTGCCATCAATTCACTCTTTCACGGCCTCTTTACCAATAATTTTAAAATTCCGTCATTCAGTTTGATTGAAACTTAAAACCGCCTTTTCTAACTCTTCACTCTCTTGTTTGTTTATTTTCTTACCTTCTAATCCGCTTATTATTAAATTTTTGATATATTCTTTATTTACGTCTTGTGTCATATATATATATATATAGTTTTATGTTATTTTGTTATTTTATTTACGTTTAATTTTAATTTCAACATTCTTTTCGTGCTTGTTATTTATCATACATTATTCTATTTTATAAACTTTTGTTTAATCACTACTTCTTAGTCTTAGGAACAATTTTATTATTATTTTTATATCATTTTTCTTTGTAGTGGGTTTTTTCTTGGCTATTTTTTGCTCGTCATTCATTGATTTCCTTGTGATTTCCCGACAATAAAACCGAGGGAACTTTTAAGCCTTCAAATACCTCAGGGCGGGTGTAAGTAGCAAAGTCTAACTGGGAGTTTTGGAATGTTTCTTGCTGATAAGATTCAGGCTGAATAGCACCGGGAATGGCCCGAACTAAGGCATCGGTAATTGCCAAAGCCGGTATTTCCCCACCCATGGTAATAAAATCGCCGATTGATATTTGCTCGTCAGTATAATGTCAAATTCTTTCGTCAAATCCTTCGTAATGGCCGCAAATGAAGACTAAGTTAGGGGCCTGATTAAGCAACCGTGGCACATCACTTTGAGTAAAAGTTTTACCCTGGGGAGAAAGTAAGATAAGACAACTATTCGGATAAGCCTCTTGAATGGCAGCAAGAGCAGCCACCAATGGCTCAATTTTTAGGACCATGCCTGCCCCTCCCCCATAAGGATAATCGTCAACCTGTCCTTTTGCCGCAAAGTCCCGCAAATTATAAACCTGATAAGTAAGTAGTTTTTTTTCATAAATCTTTTTGGCTAAGGAAATCTGAAAATAGTTGTGAAAATATTGCGGGAAAAGAGTGAGATAAATAAAATTAGGTTTCATAAAGGGAAGCAGAATAAATTATTTTTTTGTTCGGAAGTTGGTGGGCATTAAATTGTCTAAATTTTTTTCGCTTTCGCTATTTGTTTTTACAGCAAAGTCTCGCAAATTATAAATTATAAATCTGATAAGTGGCTAATTAATTTGTAATAATAAAACTTAATTATGAAACACACACACACACACACACACAGCAAAATATTAAATTGGGATTGGAAGTTTTAGGGAATAATAATGAATTAAGTTATAATGGTTAACCTACCAGAATTAAAAACAAAAGCAATTGCTGCTGCGAAACAACTAAAAGAAGGCCGAAAAAATAAAACAATTTCCCTAAAACAAGCCTATGATTTATTAGATGAAATTATGACAATAAGCAAAGGCCTTAAAAAAACAGAAACTGATGAAAAATTAGCAGAAGAACTTACTTGAGTTATTATTGAATATCTTTGGATAAGTAATGACTCTTGCTCTAAATGGAAGGCAAGCGAAACCCATCCCACTGAGCAAGAATTAAAGATGATTAAAAAGTTGTCTGGTCAATATTCAGACATTTTCTCCGAAGTAAAGGAACAATATCCTTCAATTATTAGCGATAAACTTTTCTCGAATTTAAAGGAGGAAACAAAATCAGTTGAGGATTTTGTCAAAGCAGAAGAGAATTATCAAAAATCTCCTTCTGATAATGGCAACGATAATAGTGGAAATGGCACGAACAACAAGGGCAATTCAAATAACAATGGTAATTCCAACGGCTCAAATGGAGGAGGCAACACGCCCTCTTCCTCAAACAATTCCGAACTGGAAGAGAAGATAAAAGATTTGCAAAATCAATTAAGCACAGTCAAAAAAGAATTAGGAAAAAAACAACAGCAAAATCCTAATTCTAGTGATAGTTTACAAGAAGAACGAAAAAAGGATGAATTAGAAAGGGAATTGGAAAGATTAAATCGAGAAAAAGAGAATAACAAAAAGACAGGAAGACAAAACCCCCAAAAACAGCAAGGTAATTTTCCCCACGGGTTAGTTATTGGTGGTGGAGTAGTGATTTTTTTGCTACTAATTGCGGTTATTTTTTTCTGACAAAGAAGCAAAAAGAAGTAAAGTTAGTTCATTTAAAATAAAGCATATGACTAATAAAAACCAAAAACAAAAGTCCTTTAAGGAATATTTACAAGAAATTGAGGACCCTAAAAATAACAGCGAAATAAATTATGCTTTACCGGAAAACCCAACCCCTTTACAAGTCGCCAAGTTTGAAATCTGTCAGGAGATTTTAGGTTATAAACTAGATAACGACTTAACTCGTGAGCAGGTAGCGGAAAAAATAGGAATAAGCAAAGCGGAAACGGAGGATATTTTATTTTGCCATATTGAGGAGTTTACTTTGGATAGATTGGTAGATTATGCTAGTAAATTATTAGATCCTATTCAAGTAAAAGTGATTTTAGAACCTAAAAAAACCTCTCTACATGCCCAAACCGTTTAAATTAATTGACAAGCATTTTAGCAAAGAGGATAATGAATGGCAATGGACTTATGAAATAAAGATTATTTTCAATAAGAACCATATAATTGCGATTACTATTACCGACCATTATCAGAAACATCCAGGTCGAGAGCAAATTACCAATGAACTGATTTTGGAACTGTTGAAAAAGTTAAATGGTTGACGGCTAGAACCGACCAAATATCAAGGCCAAAGAAAGGTTTATAAATGAGAGATAAGCCAGCAAGACCAAAGGTATCGGTTTTGGTTCTGATTTAAAGATGGAACTGTTAACCATTTATGAGTAAGGAACTGCCACCAAATAGACTAAATATGACAATAATAGCCTTTATTTCCCAAAAAGGGGGAGTCGGAAAATCAACTTTAAACCAAGCCTTAGTCGTGGAAGACAAAAAACAAAAATTAAGTGTTTTAATAGTTAATCGTGATAGTTAGCGAAACACTAGTTATTAATAGCATTAATAAAGTAAAGTTCCTTGATTTAATTAAAACTTCTTATATGAAAAAAGGATTCAGAAACGATACCGATAGTGTTTTCATTATTACTTGTGATAATTTAGGAGAATATTTTGCCGAATTTGCTAAATACCGTAACTCACTTAACGAAAGTGATTGAGATAAAAATCTAAAAGAAATAATAAGCAGTAGTTTTCATGAGGACAACATAAATAACGAAATTGTCGTTTTTTTGCTTAAAGATTATGATAATGTATTTAGGGGTGGAAATGGAAGAATAGAGTTAACTCTCCCCGTTGACCTAAAAAGTTCCAAGTGGTTGTCCCAAAAAGAGAAAGTTAATCAAACTTTAAAAGAAATTTGAAAAACCGGAGAAGTAAAAAACACTTACGGTTTAGATTTAATTTGACCAGTGGCTAGTCAGCCAGACCAAAAAAATCAGTTTTCTGATAATACTTATAAGAACAAAATTAAAGAACTGGAAAAGGAAATTAGTGGGTTGAAAGAACAATTAAAAAAAGAAACTAACAATAAAAATGTTTGAATAGCAATTTCTATTGCTGCGATTGTCATTTTTTTCCTCGTTCTTTTTTTTGGTTGACTAAGAACAAAAAAACTTAAAAAACGTTAATGACTCTTCCCAACAAACCGCGGGGTACTCAGGATATTTTTCCTTCCCGTTCGCTAATTTATCAAAAAATACAGCAAATTATTACAGAAGTACTTCGTAAAAATAATTATCAACCAATTATTTTCCCTACTTTTGAAACCAAAGAATTATTTACAAATTCTTTAGGCTCCACCACTGATATCATTCATAAGGAAATGTACGCTTTTACGGATAGAAAAGGCCGAGAATTATCCTTGCGACCGGAAGGAACCGCCAGCACAGTGCGTTTAGTCTGCCAAAATAAACTAGTTAAAGAGGGTTATCCATTAAAGTTATATTACTGGGCTAATATGTTCCGTTATGAACGACCCCAAAAAGGGAGATATCGCGAGTTTTGACAGTTGGGGGTAGAATTAATTAACGCTCGGGGAGTTGTCGCCGATTATCAAATATTAAAAATGGTTTTTGATATTTTGGACGGTCTAGGGATTAAAAATTTCACTTTTAATCTAAATTACTTAGGAGATAGTGAAACCAAAGAAAAATACAAAAAGGAATTAAAAAAATTTGTCGAAAAAAACCAGCCTAATTTATGCGAAGATTGTCAAAGGAGATATAAAAATAATCCGCTGCGAATATTGGACTGCTTGCTCTGTAAAAATAAATCCTCTTATCCTTCTTATAAAAATGCTTGAAATGAGGAAGATAATAAACAGGTAAGTGAACTTAACAAAATACTCAATAAATTTAATTTTCCTTATCAACATGATTACTATTTAGTGAGGGGTTTGGATTACTATACTGGTTTGGTTTTTGAAGTTGATTTGGGAACCGAAAAAGCAATTTTGGGCGGTGGACGTTATGACAAACTTTACCAAGAGATAGGAAATGTTGATTTACCAGCCATTGGCTTTGCCATAGGAATAGAAAGATTAGCAGACTACTTAGAAAAGGAAAATTTGCTAAAAGTTGACAATAGAGTTGACATTTTTTTCTTTGCTTCTGCTCCCGAAACTTATTCAGATATTTTGGTTTGGAAAGAGGAGTTAGGAAAATTTTCCTTAACCATAGATTATAATTTAGAAACTAGGAAAATAAAGGCTCTTTCTAAAATCCTTGATTATTATCAACCAAAAATATTAATTATATTAGGAGAAAAAGAAATAAAAAGTAAAAAAATAATGATAAAAGATTGTCAAAAAAGACAAGAATTTTTGGTGGAAAAAGAAAGATTGGTAGAATGAATTATTAATTATTTGAAGTTAACAAATACAAATAACTATAACTAAACAAAAAAAGGCAGACAAAATTTTTATCTTTCAACAACTATTTTGGGAGCAGAAATAGGACGATAGCCAACACCCCCATCCTTTAGCATTCTTTTAGCAGCAATTACTTCCTCTTTTTCATTGTGTTTATCACTAGAATAGAAAATTTGTTTTATTCCGGCTTGGATAATTAATTTGGCGCATTCACAGCAAGGAAAAAGAGTAGTATAAAGAGAAAAATCATGACAGTTTTGTCGAGCATGAATTATAGCATTAGCCTCGGCATGAACTACGTAAGGATATTTAGTTTCTAGTCAGTTTTTTTTACTGTTTTCTCAGGGATAGTTATCATCACTACAGCCCCATGGTAAGCCATTATAACCCGTAGCAATAATTTCTTTATTTTTATTAATTATTACTACTCCAACCTGGGTATTAGGGTCTTTACTTCGCAAAGCACAAACTTGGGCGATAGTGATAAAATATTCAGTTCAGGTTAAATAATTTTCTCTTTTCGGCATAAGTAATTTTTGCTTGGAAACAAAAAAACTGTCCTTATTCGGCTACCTCTAAATCGATACTGTTATCATACGACCAAAAATTTCTTTGGAAACTTCCATCTCCTCGTCTATAAACTTCCTCTACTTTTTCTTTATCATAGCGTAAGTAAAAATTTTTACCTTCTTTCATTAATCCTTTTTCTTCCAATTTTACGATAGTCGGATGTCGGGATTCTTGATACCTTTCTTGGATATAGTAAGTATTTTGTTGTTTGTCAGAAAACTCATATTCGTAATAAGTAACATTATTTGAGTGATGAACTCATTCTTTGCACTTTTCAAACCGAACTAAAACTTTTACTTGTGTTTCTTCTTCTTTTGATTTATTTGAATCTTGGTTAGGTCAATCCTCTAAAGGAATTAAGGTGAAATTATTATTGTCCTCGTCAAAAAACCACTCCCTAAAAGATGTTTCGCCAGAAACATTTTTTCTTTCAGCAGAAAAGGTAAAAAAAGCGTCATGCATCGTTTTTTTCCCCTTAAAAATAGGGTGTTTTTTATTAATATAGTAAGCAAACCTTTCCATTAATTTTCCTCCGACAGTGGTAAATAAGTAATAATCGTCTCTTCCTTTACCAGAAAGATTATTTCTTCAGTTAGCACTACCTTGACTTGCACTTCAAACCACCTTTTCGTTTAACTTTTTAAAGTTGGTCTCCCCTTTATTGCTATTGTCGCTTTCGGGTTTCAAGTTTTCTTTCGGAGGAATAATTGGGTCTGGCGGAAGGGTAGGAGTAGGAGGAGAATATGGCAGAACTGGCTTAGGAGGGTCCGTCGGCATTGGAGAAGGATTATCATTTTTTAGTTCCTCACCGTTTAAAAGAGGGTCATTTTTTTGGAGGAATTTTATTGATTTTTCTTTACCAGTTAAAACTAGTACTTCTGGCTCAGCCAAAATAGCTAAAGTAAACGCTCCGGGAAAATTAGTTTCTTTGCGGAAAAAATTACAGTCAGAAGCATTAATTTTAGTCTTGTCAAAAAAGATATAGGTTTCATTTCCCTCTTTAATTTTTTGATCTAACTTATTATGGGTTCACTCTAAACTGGGAGTATCTTTATTAACTCCGCCAAAAATAATTAAGTCTTTTTTTGCCCCTAACAATTTAGTTAAATCAGCACTTAAGGAGGAATTCATTCGACGAATGAAAAGGGTATTAGCAGTTTGTTTCTCAGAAAGAGAGTAGTTCCCCGGTTCAACTTCTTTTCCCAGATTAAACACAAAATATCTTTTTAATTCTAACCTTTTTTGTAATAGGTATTTTTTTAACTCTTGCTTATTTTCTTCGTTTTTCTCCTTTGAACTTTTTTGGGTAGAATTTGAACGTAATAAAAAAGTAATACTGCCTATTACCGCTAAACTAATAATTACTGATGCTAAAGCAGCAATTAAAACTTTTTTTTTTTTTTTTTTGCTAGATATCATTAAATTATTTAATGTTTTTTCTTGTAGACATAAGCAGTAAAATCGCAAAGTTCCTCTTTTTTAACTAGTTTACAATTTTTAAACAATTTTTCTAATGAATAATTTTCCTGTTTTTTACTTTCCTCTCGCTCTGAAAAAGGAAAATTGATATTGCCCTCATAAGTTCCTTTCACTACTGAAAAATAATAATAATCAGCATAGGAATAGGTTAGTTGGTAAATTTCCCGACCACCGATTACGAAAATATGATTGTCTGGATTTTCTTTATATGGTTTTAAAATTTCTTTTCAATTAGTTGCAAAAGTAAGGTTTTCTTTCTGTCAGTCCCTATATTTTTCTGGATTTTTGGTAATTATTATATTATGACGGTTTTTTAGTGGTTGACCAATACTTTCGAAAGTTTTGGAACCCATTAAAACCGTGCTTTCTGAAGTAATTTGTGAAAAATATTTCATTTCTGCCGGAATTTTTCAAGGTAGTTGGTTGCCTTTACCAATCAGATGATTTTTGTCCATGGCTCAAATTAAATTTATCATATTTTTTTGTTAGATAAGAAATTTTTCTTCTGACTCTCTTTCTTAAATTACGATCCTGGGGATCTTTTAGTAAACTATGAATAATTTCTGCCACTTTTCGGAACTCCTTTTTAGTTAGTCCTCGGGTGGTCAAAGCCGGCGAACCTAGCCGAATACCACTGCTAACTCAAGGTTTTTCAGTATCATGAGGTATCATTTGCTTATTACAAACAATCCCCACCTTTTCTAATATTTGAGCTGCTTCTTTACCAGTTAAATTATAACCTGTTTTAGTATCAATAACTAGTAAATGTGTTTCTGTACCTCCGCTGATTACTTTTATTTCTTTTTCCAAAAAATAATCAGCCATCGTTTTGGCATTTTCTAACACTTTTTTTTGATATTTTTTAAATTCTGGTTGGCTGGCCTTCGAAAAGCATTGAGATTTAGCAGCAATGGTAGCAATATTGGGTCCTCCCTGATTTCCTGGAAAAACTGCTCTATCTATTTTCTCCCCTAATTCTTTTTTGGATAAAATTACTCCTCCCCGAGGACCACGCAATGTTTTCTGAGTAGTAAAAGTAATGACATCAGCGTGGGGAACCGGATTAGGAAACAAATCGGTTGCCACCAAGCCAGCAACATGGGCAATGTCAGCCAAGAGAAAAGCACCTACTTCATCAGCAATTTCCCGGAACTTAGCAAAGTCTATTTTTAAACTATAACTACTATAGCCAGCAATAATTAGTTTAGGCCTTACTTCACGTGCTTTCTTTCTAATTTTTTCATAGTCTAACTTTTGTGTGTCGGGGTCTAGATTGTAACAATAAATTTTATAAATTGTTCCTGAAAAATTAACTTTGGCCCCGTGAGTCAAATGCCCTCCAGCCAATAAATCTAGACTCAATATGGTGTCACCTGGTCTTAAAAGAGCCAAATAAACTGCCTGATTAGCCTGAGCCCCCGAATGAGGTTGCACATTAGCATGCTCAGCACCAAAAAGTTTTTTTGCTAACTCAATTGCTAAACTTTCTATTTTATCAACATATTTACAGCCTTGGTAATAACGACTGTTGGGATAGCCCTCAGCATATTTAGCCATCAGGAATGAGCCACTGTAGAATAAAACCTGTGGGGAAGGATAATTTTCACTGGCAATTAAATTGAGAGTATTTTTTTGGTGTTTTAATTCCTTCTGGTAATAATGAAAAAGTCAACTTTTTTTCATAAAATTATACAGCTACAGGTGCTTTGATAAAGGGATGGGGGTCGTAATTCTCTAATTCAATGTCGGCAAAGGAAAAATCGAAAATAGATTTAACTTTTAAATTAAGTTTCAGAGTTGGCAATTTTTTGGGTTCTCTAGACAGTTGTAAATTAACTTGTGCGAAATGATTTAGGTAAATATGGGCATCACCAATGATGTGAATAAACTCCCCTAATCTATAACCACAAATTTGGGCTATCATCATAGTCAGCAAACTATAACTAGCAATATTAAAAGGGACTCCTAAGAACATATCTCCGCTTCTTTGGTATAATAGACAAGACAATTCATTATTTTCTGAAACAAAAAATTGAACCAAACAATGGCAAGGAGGCAGAAGCATTTTTTTAATTTCAGGCGGGTTCCAAGCCGTCAAAATATGACGACGAGAAAATGGTTTATTTTTCAAATTTTCTACCAGTTCTTTTAGTTGGTCAACCCCGTAAAAATTGCGTCATTGTTTACCATAAACTGGGCCTAAATCACCATGTTTTTGGGCAAAGTTATTGTTATTTTTAATCTTTTCCGTAAATTCTGCCAAACTTTCTCCTTGGTAGTCAGAGGATGATTTATATTTTTCAAAAGGTCATTCATTTCAAATATTTACCCCATTGTCGACTAAATATTTAATATTAGTTTCACCCTTAATGAACCATAGCAGTTCATGAACAATAGCCTTAAAATTAACTTTCTTAGTAGTTAATAGTGGAAATCCTTCCCGGAGATTAAATCTCATTTGGCAACCAAACAACACTTTAGTTCCTACTCCCGTTCGGTCTGGTTTTTCTTTGCCATTATTTATTATATTTGCTAATAATTCTAAATACTGCTTCTCACCCATTTTTAATAATTTTGCTCGGCTAGGAAGGTTGCTTAACAACTATAAATCAGATAGTCATCAGCCAACTTTATCATATACTGTAATTTTAGTAAGATTCAGGAAGAAGATAAAAATATTAAAACATGTTTATAGAAAGATGTATAATTAAAAATGGAGAAAGAAAAAATAACTTTTCAAAAAAGCGGAGAAACTGATGCCTTTCAAAAACTAACTGGAAAGGAATTAAACGCCAAAGGGATAAAATTAGGTTGAAAAAAAATTGATGATTGATTAGCAAACCCTCAGACAGACCACCAACGAGATTTCATTTACCGCATAAAAGTGGCTCCTTTTGAGCTTTCTTTAAATGGGGAAAAGAGGCAAGTAGAAGTGATTGACTTTCTTGCTAATGCCAATACTATCCTTTATTTTTTTCTTGAAAATTCTTTAAAAGATAACAATAACTTTGAATTACAATGAATTGAGGAGCATATTGGAAAAGATATTGGTTTTTCTGAAAATCGTCCTAACGCTTTGGTTGTCTATAGCAATTTTCTACAAAATGGAAGTAACAAAGAGGAGTACAAAAAAATTAGGCAAAACTCGGAGATTAGAAATCTAGAAGTTAATTGAGAAAATATTACTGTTTTAAAGTGAGGATTATCTTTTGATTTAATTTCTTCCCAGTCTGTTTCAAATTCTAATTATAATAAAGTTTTCTTACCATTGGACTATGATTCAGAAGATTTTGAATTAATAAAAAAACGCTTAACCGAATGAAAAGAAAATAACAAACCTATTATCATCAAGAATGCCGTTCTAAGCACTAAAAGTTGACTTTCAGTAAAAGACAGCAGCATTCTATATGTAAATGAAGGCAACATTAAAGGGTTGAATGGCGAATGGTTAAGTGATACTATTTTTAGAAAAAAAATTAGCGGTTGAGAAAAATTGCCTTATCGAGAAAAGGCAAAATTCCTAAAGAGACATAAGAAAGAAAAAGTTAAGGACATGAAAAACGAAATCGAAGGCGCCATTCGAGCCTTGGAAAATGGCAATAATGAACCTAATAATACCCCACTACCTTCCCCAAATCCTAATCAAAATAACCCTAGTAAAAATACTTCTCCCAACCAAATCCCTTGAAAAGTAATTATCCCGGTTTCACTTTTACTTTTAACCATTACTGTGATTGGAGCAACTACAGCATTCAAAAAAAAAAAAAAAAAAACATTAATTCACCATTAATTTAAAAATATTTCTCTAAAAATTAA